AGCAGTTTGTGTCTTGGCACGAAGCAGATGCCACTTCAAAGCTCCACTGCAAGAGTATATGCAGACAGGGAGCAGAAGGCAATTTTAGCTCTTACTAGGTCAGAGAAAAATTAAAAATCGGAATTCTCTCAAGCTTTTCTTGGAAGAGCAAAACTAAAGACTGGAGAATATCCAGAATCTCACAGCACTCTTTGAGTCAGAGAATGGGTTTTAAGACTGCCTGAGGTTTGTAGCTGCTGAATATCACTAAGCAGTCTCTTTTGTGGGGGTAGGGAGGGAAGGATGGAAACAATGGAAACTGCTTTTTGAGGTAAACTGTTCTTATGGTTAGTGATACTGTTATCTGTATTGGGCTAAAAATGCAGATGTTTGTGGGATCCCTTGGATGAGTAAGATTTACTCAAGTAAATGAGGGCTGCATACAGTGTGATAAAGTCATGCTTTCTGACAGTTACACCTGAAGTCAGGGCAAGCTTTGCTTTTGACTGCAGCAGAGGAAAGATTTTGACATGGGATTTTTTTGAGTCTGCTGGAGCATGATGTCTGAGAGTGGAGCCCGACTCACCTCAGACTTCCTCAGCTGGCAGGGACTGATAACCAATTCTACTCACAGTCAGGACTGACTTGTTTGCGTAATCGATCTCAATACATCCATGTATACAGGTGGAGAAACTGTTATTTCTATTTTATTATTGCTTAATGTTATGAACAATGTGTTGCTGTTAATGTTGAAATGTTATATATATTCACACTTTTGTATACAGACATATATATCTATATATCATAAATATCACAGATATATGTTAAGATATATTTATTGACAGGTACCTATATACACGCATTATTATATACACATATGACGTAAAAGACTTGTAGTAATAACATCAGCTGGTCACTCAGCTTAAGAATGTCCACACGATGGTGGTACAGCTAACAGTATTTATCATATATGTATTCCAGGATAGTACTAGTCATCCACTCCTGAGTGAGGAATAGGTAACAACTTGTAAGATCAGAGATTGCCAAAACGATGATCAGCAGGAATAGAGAGACAAAGGTGTGCTTATGGGAGAAGCAAATGGGTAGCGTATTGTGGCAAGTTCTACTAGAATAAGAAGGAAGAGAAGAGAGGTAAGTCTGGAAGCCAAAGATAAGAAGTTTGAACCTCTTCAAGTGAAAGAGAAAGACCCAGATGATGAAGGCATGACAGAGGTCATGAGAGGAGGGAGCATGCCAAGCAGGACAACGGTGGAAGCACCAAATTACGGTCCTTTCCCTGTGCTGAACTCAGGAGACCAAACTATTTCTAAGGTGACAAATAGTGATACCTATCCCAGGTGGTTCAGGTAGATGATAACTGTTTCTACAGTTATCTATGCCATTAGCTCAGCAGCAGATGGCCAATACTCATAGCTTCACTTCTGTTGATTAGATATTTTGAACCATAAGTAGGCAATTCAACTAGAATTCCTATGCTTTGGGTTGTTTGTTTGTTTTATTTATCACAATTTTAGTGTGGGAAATTACATCTGAAAGGGTACCTCAAATAAAACACTTGATGAATGTCAGCATGTTTGATAATATGACTTTATCTTTCTATGCCGTAAGTTGCCTATCTATACAGTGATGATAACACCTTTGCATCTCACATGGGCATCGAGGAGAAGAACATGCTGTCTTTTGTTCACTCAGTTGTTGGGGTGACATTTGGGAAAACTAGGAGTTTTCTGTTCAAATTAAGGTTTAGATTGTTCCTTAGATGAGGTCTGGGCCATAGAGTGCGAGGTAGGGTTAAAAATTTAGGCAAAGAAACCATTCATTGAACACAGTGCAGTCTGTATCCTAAATGAGGCAGGGGTGGCAAAGGTAAAATATATAACAAGCAAATAAAAGGTGTACCATCTGCACACCCATCAACCTTCATTCAAACACTTCCTGACTTCTGAATGCTTGACTTTGTAACTCTCTTATTTTAAGAGAATTTACTGAAATATAACAGTAGTCAAATGTGATTAGCTCAACTGAGTGATTTGACACCCTTAAAGCTCGGTACAATTGGGCTGTGATAATCAAAATACTTGACTGTGTAAATGTGAAATATATTGTATAGTCCAAAGTCTGTAATAAGCAATAAATTGTAATGATGAGTCCACCCTTGCTAAACAGCACCCAGTATAGGTTCAAAAGTAGACGGGCTACTCACTCCTCTTATACAAAGGGACATATTTTTGGTTACTTTGATTTAGATTAAAATTCTGCCTTTTTCCTTGTAGGAATTAAAATTATGATACTCATAGTGAATACTAGCATGATTTCTAATGTTCTTTCCGTGGGCCAAATAATATTTTAAATAAATTATCTTTTCAAGCTGAATTAACTGAGCTTAATCGGTTTAAATAAAAACACCACTCATCGCTAGCATTTTAGATGATGAAGGATTGGGGCTTAAGCTTCTTATCTGTTCATAAATTTTCTAATCTGTGAAATGGAGATAGATATGTCTAAGGGATGTTATGAAACCTATATAACGTTAATAAAATGCTTTGAGGTCTTCTAGTAAAAGTGTAAGGAGTTAATGTCGTTTAATGCCAATTGACATTTTCCATGATAATTAATTTGATAGAGTTGTTAATTCAGTGTTGTAGAACTGAAAAATCATCCTGAAAACTAGAGAGAGACATTGATGGGGGGTCAGATTCAATGTTCTTGAAATTGATGGAAAGAACATCATTGTTTTCAAGTGGTGTTGGATTAAGTCCCACAAATAAATGTATGAGAGATCATCTCAATTCACTGTACTCAAGAAAACAGATGTAAAAAGGAAGCAGAGAGGACAGATAGTAGGAAGTAAATAATACTTGTGAAGCTGAAATAAGAGAATATTTATATTGACAGCAACAAAACAGGTATAAAGCATGTACGTGAAGTGTTCATCCTTGGGGTCTGCATCAAAGGAGATTTCACTCTGTGTGTAAATACACCTGCTTTCTAGAAAGATTAAGACTCTCCATCCATGCCTGCCCACATAGTCCTCTGACTTCATGGCCCCCCATCTCTTTTAAAGCAGTCTTTGTGGGACTGAGTGTTCACCTACATTAAAAACTCTTTGCAAGAATAGGGCACGCTCCTGTGCTTTGTTTGCCCTGTCAATGTGTGACACACAGTTGCAAGGCACCTACCTTCAAAAATAATGGGGAAGAACTGGAAGAGCTCCTGAGTAATTTAGGATTGGGACCCAAGGTAGTCTAACCTGATCTGAGTTTGGGCTACCACACTCTTTCCAAGGAGGCTGGCTTATACTGGGAGTCTGCAGCCACACTCACGGGCTCCTTTGTATCGTCAGATGTGATTTGAACACCATGAAGGTTTGACCTTTAACGGGCAGATCCCACAAAGTGCCTGAGATATAAACACAGACCTAATGCCAACTTAACATGTTCTTGAGCCAGTACTGTGTTTGCATTCACAGGCTGTTGATCTCCGAGGCATGGGTAGCTTGAACTGGACTGGTGAAAATGGTTACTGCCCCCAGTTCTTCTGCCAGGAGTTGGTGCTATTTTGGCAGGGAAGTGCATGTGGAGCTGTGGAGCACTTGCTGAATCCCTGCACTTTGCAGTGTGAGGAATAAACCTGGTGCTGTAAAATTGAGAAGTGCCGAATCTGCTTCATCTTCTGTTCACCCATCCCCTTCCCTGGCATAGAAGGGGAGTGGGAAGCTGTGAGCAGTGATGCCTTCAGGTGTCTCAGGTCAACCAGCCTGGTTGTGAATCAGCAGCCAGAGTTACCTGCTGTGGGTAAAGATGTTTTGCTGTGCGTGGAGGGTAACTTTCTTAGAAGAGCCAAACTGCCTCTCTCCGTGCCTTCAGGGGAGCCATCACTTCACCGTATGGCTGTTCACTCCACCTGGGCTGGCGCAAGTGAGATTGACAATACTTCTTGCAGTATTTAATCTGCATACAGCAATTAGACTGGCCCAACAGAGTAATTGGATTACCAGAGTGTTTGAATTCGTTGAGGAGATAAATAACCCTATCCCATAGCATTAATAGGATGGAGTCCAGCACAGCTGAAGCTTTGCCGCATGCCCTCGGCTTGAGCTCCAAACGTCATTTGGGTTTTGATGTCCGTTTGTAAACAGAATCAGGATGGGAGATTAACTTTTTCTAACAGTGAAGACAGGATTTTATAAGCGATGCTCACATTTTATGGGCCATGCACCATGGTTCCACGGATCATTGCAGTGGCCTCCCAGATCACTGACCGAAATCGTATGGGTTTGGGGGTGGGATGCAGTAGGGAGCTATTCTATTTTGCCATCTGTAAATGCTTTTCCCTATAAAACTATTCAGCATTTTTCCCATGGGAAGTAAACATAATAATTAAAATGCTTCATGTCACAGTCTTTTTTTGTGTGTTGTATGCTGCTTTTTTTTAACCTAAAAACAGGATGCTGCATTTTTTTCCATGAAAGCAAACCAGCCTGGACAAGGATGTTATTGCCTTTTACAACACAACTTTCTAGTGTCTGTTTAAGGTTATTTTTTTCCTTTAAGACTGTTTGCACATGACAAGGTCTGCTCTGTGAGTTGCTTGCTCTGAGCAGGATTTGTCTCTTCCAACTCTAAACTTCTACAAAGCAGATGGAGGTATCTCCAGCTGAGCTAGTCAACCCAGTCAATGGGAAAGAGGTGCTTTTACATGTTAAATGCCTATGCTAGGATGAGTTCAGTTTCACTCTGGAAGTACCTTTTTCCATTGACTATAAAAGAAGCCTCATGGAGCCTTGCTCAGCTGAAGATACTGGATCATACGAATATTAATATGAAATTGTGGGACAATATTTTCAGAGACCATCCATGAAAACCCAGACCACTTTTCCTGCAGAATCAGAGGAAACAAGATTTCTCAGGGTTTCTATAAAATAAAAATATTTTTCTACATTTTTCACAAGCATCAGCAGTATGAGAATAAATCTATTCTTAACTGTGCTTTTTCTTTAGTGTTGGAAAGGAAGATTTCGACAAGACAAAGCAGAGAGGAGCTGATAAGAAGGGGAGTGCTGAAGGAAATGCCCGAGCAAGGTGATAACACATTAACTAGAATTTAGCTCCTAAACGCTAAACATGGATGCTAAAGCTACTATTGCGTTGTTTCCATGTAGTATAAATAGGTATGAGGAGACAAAGCTGAGGAGTGTGAGAGGTAATTTGGGCCAGTTGACAAAGAACTAACGTTGGAGTTGAGAGATTTGTATTCTGTAACTGCTCCTGCCATCTGACTTCTGGTCATATCCTTAAATATTTTGATGCCCCCTGTAAATTATGTGACTCCTGTGGTTCCTACTTACTGTTTGCCAGAATTTTTTGGAGTTAATGATTAACCTATTTTTTGAGTCAAGGTCTGCTGTCTAAAGCAACTGGAGTATAATATGAGAAATTTTGGCTGAAAAATTAGAGACTTTGGGACCCCAAGCAAATCAATAGCATCTCTTTCAGGTATCAAAAAGTACCAGTGCTGGGATCGTACAGATCCCATCACTGTCACACGGACCACATTCACAAATGGCACAAACATAAAACTGCAGGGAAGACACCACTTGTTTCAGAATGCTGTAAGGTTTAGTAACTGGTATTAACCAGAATTTGTGTTTTGAAACACATGAGTAAACCATGGTTAACACCTCTGTGCTGCATCTAATTATGCTTTTAGTGGTATTCTTGCCGAAATTATTGATCTTCTATAAATCTAGATCAAATAAAAGTCAAGTGAGTAAAATTATTTTCTGTAGCTTAAAATTAAACCATTTGTCATTTTATCAAGGAGTCTAAGAATTCCATGATTTCCAAAAATATTTTTCTCCTAGAAGTTGTATTACTCTGCCTGAGCTGAAGAAGCATGAAAGTATCAATGTGTGTGGTTCATATTGTACACATTGATATTTAGAAGTAAAGGCCTTGTTTGTTGACGTGACATCACTTGTCTTTACAGTGTTTTGCTAATTACCAGACTATGACATTCAGCATAGCTGGCTTCTGAACTTGTCTCTGCCACTGTCTTTGACTTAAAACAAGACATGTAAACTCTCCATTCCTCAATTTGTCCATCTGTGAATGTTACATTTTTTGCTACATGCTTTACTGGGGAGCTGCCTGACCTTGTCCATGGATGGTTGGAAATTGCATGTAGACTGCTGGGGCAGTTAATGAAATACGTTAACCTTTCAGGTTGGTTACAAATAGTCTGAACAGAAATACTATCATTTGTGCTAAAAGTACGTATGCTTTGGTCTTCAGTGTCCTTGACCCTCTATTCCATTCTTAAAAGGGCATGGGACTTTGGATCCCTTATGGAGATTGAGCAAAGTCAGAAAAGGACATAAAGATGAACAATTTTCTCCTCTTCCTCCTGTCTTAAGAAGGCCATCAATCCAGTCTGTGTTGCCTTCATCACGTTGTGCTTCATGTCTGATGAAAATTATAATTTTTAAGAAGCATTTTGAAAGAATACAGGATTGGTTTGAAGGTGCTAAAAATGGAGATATAGGAAACTCGGTGGTCAAACAGTGTGAAGGTAGTTAGAAGGAATGAGTATGGAGATGAAAGCTAGATGAGGAAATTACATGGAGTCTTGAAATGTGAAAAGTAAGAAATGTGAAGAAGTGACAGTATTTCACACGGGATGAGGAGCAAAGTGGAAAGTGGCAGGTGCCACTTGGAGGCAGGAGGTGTTTGCAGAGCCATGACATGAATAAGAGGTGGGGGTGCCACATGTGGAGGCAGAGAGGAAAGAATGGATTTATGAACATCTGGAAGAGAGAAGCTGAAGAAACTCAAATGTTGCGGTAAGGTAAGAAGGAAACCTTGTGCCACTGTCAGCTATAGTGAATCAGACAAGGTTAAGAAGGGAGAACTTAGTTTTTACAGATCAAGTTGAAGTTAGTGCGTGGGTGAGAATGAAACCATCAGCTTAACCCATGGAGCACCCCAAGGTGGTAAGAGAGAGGCTGCGTAACTGTGTTGAAACCAGGGAAGGGCCAAACATCCAGGTCTGATAGCACACAGCAAGGAAGAGAAGGAGAAGAAGAGAGTGGAATTACCACACTTAATGAAGAATCAGTGGGAGGAACCGGAAGAGATGCCAGGTAGATTTGCATAATTTTTTGGTGGACAGCAAGAGAATCCTGCAGAAGTAAAGCAATCATCTATGTGAACTGCAGGTGGGGTGAGAGCAGTAGAAGGATTACAAGCCTTAGAAATTACCAGAGAAGAAAATCAGCAACTTTAAAATGCATGGAACAGAGAACAGAAATCAGTAAATAAGGGAAGAGAGAAAGCTGTGAGCCAGCAAGAGTATGCAGCATTTTTCAGCAATGTAGAGATAAATAGGGAAGAGAAAGAAGTTTTTTTCAGGATTAACACACACACACACACACACACACCCCCCCCCATAGCTGAGGTAGTCTGGGTAAGTAAGTAAAATATCATCAGAGCTGGGGCAGAATTTAATAATGGTACATGATACAGGAAGACTTCACCTTGGTTCTTAAGACTGGATAATGACTTTGTGACCTATTTTATTCATTAACTGGGCACGCATATTCTGAGAACTGTCTGAATTCCTGGCTGATTTACCTACTGGGATACACCACAGTAGTCCTACAATTCTGCCCCCTAATTGTCCAGATTTGGGGCATATTGGAACACATTGCAGCTCCGTTGTGGTCCATGCACACATTTCTTTCTTTGCTGTGTAAACCAAGAAGCAGGGAGGAAGAGAACGGGATGCTAATGTGTACAGACACGAAGCTGGACCTGAAAACTCACATGCGCTTCCAGGCCCACTATTGCAGAGGTGTCCACCCAAAGCCTATGGAAGCCCATAGAGTTCCTTTACAGAGTTACTTTTCAGAGCAGATCTGCAGCCTGTTGTTTCACATTTCAGTAAGTCTTTCTGCTTTGCTTCCATGGAAATTTGAAGGCAGAGGGATGCTGTGTGTTGTTAGTAGGTGCTAAGGAAGCAGTTAAACTAGGCACTAGCTTTTTAATTTTCATTTCAGATGGTGATGTAACAGTAAATTTTGAAACTTCAAATGGACACACCATAGCCATTGGTGAAGAAACCATACAGGAAGAAAATGTGGTAAAAGCCAGTGGAGATAACGGTACTTTATCAGAGAAAGTATCAGCATTGGAAGGAAAAAAAGAAGATCAAAAAGGTAAATGAACACATTCACAAATTGTTTTTCACCTACTTAAAATACTAACATGTTCTTCCATTAGCACCAATACATGCTGTGAGTTCTGTTCTGCCATAAGGATGCCAGCAGAACCTGCTGAGAAGATAAGGCTTGTGAAACACCAGTATTTTGTCACTGGTAGGCATTCCTTTTGCTGTGGATGTTGTAAGGTCATAAAGAGAAGCATAGTCTGAGCATGAAAATGCGTGCAGGGATGTTTGATTCCTAAATTCAGTGTGAGCCTTTCCTTGTAGCCATGGGCAAGCTTTGGTTTCACGTTTTCCTTTTGTGAAAGAAGACACTAAGTGCATATGCATCACCTTGCAATATCATTGTAGAAGTGACTCATGGGTTGAATATTCAGCAGTGTTTAAGCCACTTAAAAACCATATATCAATTTGAAAGTAACTTCAGCAACTCATTCCTATTGGTTTTCATTAAATCTTAAACACTTGCAGTCCAGCTCTTTGGAAATATTCAAGGAGCTGTATCACTACCGCAAACTGAACTTAGTTCATTTAAGGAAAGTGTGCTTTATGACTATAGGGTTTTCTATAGATCAATTGCCATAAATACTGCTAAACATTTAGCAGTCCCAGAGCCCATATTAATTTTGTTACCTTCACTCAGCTCTACCTTGGTAACAAGAGTTTGACTGACAAGGGAAAAGTAAGGATTAATGCAGAATCACAGGATTTGGGCCAGTTTTATTTTCTTTCTCTAGCATCTTGAATAATGCATCACTTCTTTTCCCTCTCAAAAAGTGTTCTTGAATACTACTTCATTATTGGATTTTCCTAGAGGAAAGAGCAAGGATACAAAAGATCAAGAACTTCATGGCTGGCTGTTAGACTGAGCTGCCTTTCCAATGTCTTCTAGTAACCTCTACCTAGTGATGAATGAGCCTCTGGAGGTTGAGAGGGTCAGTTCAGCTAACACAAAAATTTGAATTCTTCTCTGAGCTGTGTAAATCACTTGACTATGTAAAAAGTGGCTAGATGTCCAAGGACAACTGCCTTTCTTGTGAGATTTCTAGTACTTCCTGTCTCCCAACAAGACAGAAATACAAGATTAGCCTTTTTCATGACAGTTAAATACATCTATCTTTTGGTGCCAAGTAGAACCAGATGTGTATTGGGTCAGGGGAAAAGAGTTATAAAAGCCATGAAAAACTCCTTTAAAATGGCTCAGGTTAACTTTGGGGTTAGATCAGACCACTTATTATTTTATGCATCCCTAAATACAGCCTTTTGGAACTGTCAGGTCTTGGAATTTTTCCTAAGGTGCAGAGTTTTTTTAGAAATACACATTTCTAACTATGTTGAAGTCCCTTCTATCTGACTTTGCAGAATGTAGAACTCCAATGAAGCAGGAAGGGTTCAATATCTATTTCAAACACATTATTACACTCTGCACTCCCTATGTATTGTGTTGACCTTACAGGGAGAAATTAAAAATGATTTCTGTACAGGAGTAGACTCAGTACAGAAGAATATATAGCTAACACTCCAGTCCGTATCAGAAAATGAAGTATATATGGAGGAAGGAGAAGGAAAACAAAAAATGAGCAAACTTGGTATTCTAGGCTTCATAGAATGTCAATATGACCATATAGAAGATGCAAAACACTTCAAGTATACTTTCCTCTTACATCTAAACACGAACTTCTTCTACACATAAATATCTTGAGTCCCCTGAAAAGGAACAAGGCAGATTTATTGCAGAGGAATAGTCTGCCCAAAAAAGGTGTTAAGGCTCAATTCCACACATTAGCAACGGTGTTAACACAGTGCAAATCCAGTACAACTCGCTGGATAGTCATTGTGAATACACTTCAGTTATTCTTTACTTTATAGCACATTAAGCAAGAAGGTGAGCCAGTCTGTTGAACTCAGTGGAAGAGTAAGGCCCACTGCATCTCACAAGTGCATCTCACCTGACAGGTTAATCCTAGGTGATTTTTTTTATGGCAGATGCAGTAGGTATGCATTACACCCACACCCACTGGCAGAGCAAGGAATTAGCAACCGCAGAGTGCAGGTTTGCTAACACTCACAGAGCATGAAAATCAGAGCTGAAGCAGGAATGCTTAGGTCACTGTCTTCTGCTCAGACCATAAAACATGCTGGTACTTCAGATCGCAACCCTCCATCATGAGAACTGAGATAGGTGGCGTGAATACTAGCCGGACAGTCGGGAGCAATGGATGCAAGGAGTTCATCTTTAGTGAGGCTAATGTTAGGCTTTTTAGAGTCATGAGCTCTTATGTGTAGATCTTGAAGGAAGTTATATACACTTTCCATGTTTATAAGACCTGAAGACAGGATTAATTCCTGCTGTTTAGTAGCATGGTGTGCTGCAGTTCCAACTCTGGCTGAATCAAAATATTCAAAAAAATGCATCTCAGCCCCTGAAAGTTACGAGGTTATTTCAAAATGCTTTTATAAAATGGTGGTGGTCTTTACTTGCTCTTTTGTTGAAGTGGGTCTTGAAAATGGCTTTCTCATATAAATATGATGACTGTTGGAGCTGGAAGCTTAAAAAAGACAAGGGATACAGGCACATTGTGGTAATATGGTGAGAGTTGGCAGCAATGCGTGGTAGAATGTGGAATATGTTACGAGTTAAAAGAAGTTAAAGGAGAAAAGTTGTTTCAGCATAAGCCACAGAAATACAGTATCAACAGGGCAAACAATAGGCTCAGCCATGCAGTGTAAAAATGAGTTAGGCAGAAGCGAGTGAAGAAGTTGACCCCTGAAAGCTGTTCCCTGTGCTGCCAGGCATTTCCATAAACCGTGTACCCATCTGCTGCCTGTCAGCTCACAGGTGCCTTTCATATTTGGTGAAATAATTCCCTTTGGCAATTTAATAGTGTAACTGTTACTGTTTGTAGTAATGATGAGATGTCAGTCATTCAAGCAGGGTGTTTAAAAGGAAATTTCTACTTTATGGCAGGATAATAAGCTGGTGTTCCTATGCCATTTATAGTAGACTGATCATCTCAGGTTTTCTGATGTCCTTCAGTGAAGGAAACAGTTCATAGTCCTGTTTCCAAATGAATTCATGGGATACATGCACATAATGTTTTTTCTCCACGGGATAACTCTAATATCAGAGCTGGCAAAGGTTCCAGGTCTTAGTATGTTGGGTTCAGAGGTTCTTTCCTCTATACTTCATCTGCTCTCCCTTAAATCTGCCATTAAATTTAATCTTTTCTTTTTCTCATTGGTAACCAAAAAAAAAAAAGAAGGTTGGAGGCACAAGCTCTGGTCTTACGAGCATGCACCGTTGCTGACTAATGCTTTAGTTTGTCTATCAAGGAATGTTCTTCAAAGTCAAATTTTCTATGTTCCTTGTCTCAGAAGTCTTTGCTTTATTTCCCCAAAGTGGAACAAAACCTGTTGAATTTATGATAGTAACTCTCATCTTCCAGGGTCTCAGGCAAGAGCCTGCTTTCTCTCAGAAGACTAATCCTGCAAACCATTCACTGTGAGAGACAAGCAGACTTTCTTCTCTCTTGTGTGCCTACCTGGCTCCCTATACTCCTGAGCTCTGTAGATCATTGATATGAGCACCATACATAAAAGGGTTTTTCTTTTGCCTGACTCCCAAATAATCTCTCACTCCATCTGAGTTATTTGCTGGCTAAAACTAATTCTTCTAAGAATAGTATATCTTCGATTCATCACCTGAACAGTGTAAATGAGGCTGAATCCAAATCTTCTTGAAAGGAAAGCTACTCTAGGTAAAGGTGTATTTGGGCAGAGCCTGGCCACTAAGTCAGCCAGGCTGGCTGATGCCAGTGGGCTGACGTGAGAGGCATGGGCTTTCACCCATAAAAGTTGAGTGGTAGAGGAAAGCTTGTGATTTGTAAAGCTGCTATATTTTTTTTCTTTCATAGGAAAGAGATCCTAATGTGACTCCAGAAATATGATTGTAGATGTGATTTTAATGAACTAACCATTGAATTATTTGATCATATCTATACAGAAAGTGCAAGGGAACGTAGAAGCCTACATGCCTTTCAATTTCCAAGTCTCCCATAGACCAAGAAATGGTAAAAGCATGCAGCTGACAGTGAAGATGTTTTAGGTATTCTCTCTTGGTTTAACAGCTTACCTTTTATGCTGAAGTTGGATAGTTAGCAATGTAAAATGACAGGCAGTGGGGTTTTTTCCTTTCTTATCTTGGAACCAACGCAAAATATATGAATGTAGTTGCTTTAGGTCAGATGTTACACCTGTCCCTTTCTCCCCTCTCCTGTTTTCTACACTGTCTCTGTTACAAGACCTTTTGCACATGGTGCTGTTGTCTGCAGATGTACAGATCTGCTCATCCATCTTCAAGAAGGATGAATTCGAAACTGCAGAGAGCTGTGAAAAGCATCGTGAGACAGCTGTTCTTGTTCAGCCTAGCAAAACGGAGCCTGAGAGAGCCTGAGTGCTTTTGATGAATGTAACAAGTTGGTATGTAGCCAGGAGAGAGCACAAGTAGAAAGGAATAAACAGTGGCTTGAAATACATTTAAACTGGAAATTAAAGGAAGCTTTCTAACTATTAGAATGGGTCTTTTCTTGAACAGAATTTTAGTAGCAATAGCAGTAACAAAAAATGGAGCTGGTTAAATCTGAAGTTTATGAAGGGATTTGTATGAGTTGACCACCTGCATCAGCACAGTCAATGAGTCCAAAAAAGAGACAAAAGACACCTTGTCTTGCCCTGTCTTCCATGTTTCTGAATGACAGCTTCCTGGGTTTTGTTTAATCAAGACACAGCTCTCTGCATAGGCTGGAAAGGAAACTCACGATTCCCAAAACTCTTACTGAGTTTCATTTTGCAGGGTGTCATCCTGCAAAAGACAACAAAACATATGTTATTTCCAACTTCCATTTTAAATAGTGTTACTCCACTGAGTTGTGCTCATCTTCCAGGAGAAGGGTGCTTTGCAGTTGATGTAGATTATGTGCTTGTGCTGCAGCGCTGCTGGTTTTCCATGAGCTATCTTCATGTCACTGCTGTAGCTGTAGAAACAAAAATACCAGTACTGTATAACAAAAAGTAAAGAAAAAATTATTGTATTATACAACCCAGTCATGTATGGCTTCTGAAACTATGCCTAGGAATTTCATAGGTCCATTTGGTCCAGAGTTTGCAAAAGGTCCCTCATTTAGCTTCCAAAATAAGTCATCTGATTTTCCAGTGCATATGGCACACTGGCATCTCTTTGAAAGTCTTTGAGCCTTGATGAGTCTCTGTAAGAGCTGTTGTATACTGAGTACTTTGTAACCCTGACCATCATTTAGGTGTTTACATAAGAAGGTTTCTTAAGCTTTCTTAAGGGTCTGGCCCCAATCACAGTTTCTGGGAACAAGAAAAGCTGGTCTCAAAGTGAGCTTTCTTGAAAATCTGGCCTTTGGAAAATTTATTCTAAACATAAACATATTATTGATCCAAATGCTTAATGAGACATTAACATTTGCTTTGCTTTCCTATTTAAAGAGTAATTTATAGATGGATTGCTTTTACAGCAGATGTCTTGATCAAGGCAGCAGTGAATAAAAGATATTCCTATCTGATGATCTTTTGGAGACCTTTTGTTAAAAGGTCAGTTTGTGATGAACAGATGTCTACATTAAGAAAAACAACAGCAATAAAAATATATTGCAGCTGGTACTGAGGGACCTGGGGGATTGGCTTGAACAAATAGATGGGTCTGAACTGATTCAGATGCCTCCTTGTTTTGGCAAAAGGTGCAAAAGAAAGAGCAGGCATGAAGACCAAGGGTCCATATTCACACCGAATCATGTGAGGGAGGTACATTTACAACATAATTGCATCTCAAGCCATTTACAGACATCAAACCATCCCTGTCACTGTTCAAGATCAAGCCACTGTTGCTGTTATTACTTATTTGTATTACTACAGTACTTATGTATATACCAGCAATTTATTGTAATGTCTTACATAAATGCAGAAAACCACAAAAAAGTTCCAATGGACTTGCAGTAAAAGGGAGGACACTGTGGTTAGGCACTGAAAAACAAGAGGGGACCAGACCAGGATAACAAGCACAATGCCGGCAGCCTAAAAATTGTCAGCTTTGGCATCGCAGCAGAGGGAATTTGAGGGAGGACAGTCGATGAATGTTCAGAAAGCCTGAGGGGCAGCAGAGGAAAAGCAGTGAAAAGCATCTGCTTCAAAACTTGGCTTGTCGCTGGCAAAAGCTGGTGTCATGGACTGGTCAGGTAGGAACTGGAAATCTGTATCTCAAGAGTACATGAGAAACAATAGTTTGGGCAAGATCAGACTGACACTGAGGGCAGTCAAGTTTATATCTGATGAGATAAAAAAGATTAACAAAGATAAAAATGACAAAGCTAATTAAGATGCCAAGAGGGTCGATATGGTCCAAGGCAATCATCTTCACTACAGCTTTTCTCATGGCTATGAGCAAAAAGAAGATTCATTGGTCAAGGCCAAGAAAAGGGCATGTATGTAATCAAGGGGAAGTCAAGACTTGATGAGAACTGTAAGCAACTGAGCAGATAGGATGCTGCTGTGCAGAAAGAGTCTGCCAGTTTTTGATGTGATGTGCATAACAGTATGGAAAGAGCTGTCCTAGATAAAGATGATATCCCAGTGATGACAAGGTATTTCAGCTATAATCAAAGTTATATAAATTGCCAGTTTTAATCACAACTGAATTCTGCAAGCAAGAACTTTGATATGAATGAACTGTTCCAATTTTGGTTTTCATTTATAGTTTTCAGTTATTTCTCTAAAGAAATTTGAAAATTATTAGTCAGTTGTCACTAAGATGTGATTATTTGCAACTAAGTAAAGCTTTAGCCTTGTATTTTGTACTGTTTTTATGAATCAGAAGATAAATTCTAACACAGTTATAGTTTAATGTAGATTGAGATTCTAAATAATTGCTCTGTATTACTTTAGAATATGGTGAATGATGTATTTCTTTTTACTAGGTTATCATTCTCTTTTTAATATTTTCTCTACTAATATAATGGGAAACAAAACACAGTAATGGTATGTAGGTGTTTAAGTCCTTCAAGATCTTCAAAATACAAAATCTTCTCTTGCCATGTTTGTTATTAATGGAATTAAAATTTTAAAATGCCCTGCTTTTTCAGAATTAAATCAGTTTTTCAGCTTTGAATGAAGGTAGGTATAATTTCACAAGGAGATGCTCTTTGCTATAAAAGAGGAGAGCAAAATGTAACAAACATGTATGTTTCTTTCTTCTTCTGAAGTCTTTCTCTGGTCCAAAGTTTTCCCTGGAAAACAAAGAGACAGTAGAAGAATCTGTGCTCGAAAGAATCTGAAAGCTGTACAAGGTTGCTATGCAATGGTTCTTGCAAAGCATTAGCAAAAACATACTAGTCTATAATGGACTGGAAATAAAGGAGGAAGACACTGGACAGTTAATGTTAATTCCTTCAGTTCATGAAGAGATATATGTCTGTATGTTGCTTTTAATAACTGCAGGTGATGCTTTAGGTTCATGTTAACAAGCCTTAAGCTAGAGGTTGAAAAGGCTTTGTTTCTGAGATGAATGTCATTGTTGTCCAACACATGATTTGTTTTTCATCTACTAATCTTAAAATGAAAAGGTGCTGCTTATCTCTTGGGAATCTTTTACATGGGAAGGAAGAGAGCCGGGAACAGCCATTTAACGTGCCTAAGAGTGAGGCTTTAATAGGAACATACTGCAAGAAATTAGTTGGTTTCCTCTCAAGTGATAAAAGAGACTGTTAGAAGTCCTTGCAGTATTTGCTTGGCTCCTTTCTTCCCCAACCACTGTAGTTTTTAGTAACATGCAAATAAAACCCATACGATTCTGATGGTATGCTCTTGCTTTTATAATATCCTTTTTCTGGAAGGTTTCGGAAGGCTATCGTGAGACCAGCTGGGCAGAGTTGGTGTAATTGAATAGATAAAGATTCCCATCTGGGAACAGGTAGTCTTACAACCATAGCAATTATGTTGCAAAATTTATGTTGACCGTACATGGCTCACCTACACTAACATTACAGTTGGCATTAGGCGTGCACTTTTGAAGTGAATTTCCTGGTCATCCCCACTTACTCTTCTTTGGTTTGCAGAGCACACAAGCCAGGTTTCTTTTGGATGAAACTAAGCCAAAAGATGCATTCAGGATCTTGTGCTCCCACCACTACTGGGCATGCAATCTACAGAACTAGCCTGAAGCTAGTCCAAAGTCAAGTCTCCTGAAACGTATATTGTGGACATTGGGTCCTCAGTGCTACCTCTTTCACTCTACAGAGGCATTCCTATTGCTCAATGCAATGTAGATAGAGTCCAAATTCCCATTGACTAAGGAACTGCTGAATCTTGGAAGGGCAGTCTTGTAACAGTACCCAAAGAGCTTGCAGGAGAGGAGAGCATTCCCATGGCAAATGATATCCTATTTGATTTAGCTTCATCTCTTTCTGAAGAGTAGGAATACCCTGGGGAAGATACCCAAAATAAAGTTGCTATAAGCAAGCAGTCTGCAGCTTAGGAGAATGGGTTGCTTCAGGGCAAAATTTCAGCTGCATATCCATGCCTGAACCCAGGGCTGAGAGAATGGCCCTGTTCACATTCAGATTCACATGAATCTGAGTTTTATAGCCTGTTGATCTCAGAGGGCTGGAAAGAAGATGAGGGAATTTGTTGGGGTAAATGGCTTTTCCCTTGTTTAGTTTGCAGCCAGCAGTCTAGTTGGGGATACTGAACGTTAAGGATGATCCTTGGAGGTCTAGAATAGATGAGACTGACAGAAGTGCCAGGCAAAAATCTTCCATGAGAAGGACTTGAATTGAGATGGACAGTAATTTTTTTCTGAGATAATACTTCAGTAAGAGGCAGGAGATGAAGGCTTCTCTCCTGATTCCCAAGAGCTCAAGCAGCAAAAAGTAGTCATTGTTGTCAAGCTTGCTGTTGAATGTACGTGGCATATGTCTGTGTCAGTTGGCTTCTGTTCACTTTCTTATCCATAGAGAGCACTACTGATCACTGCCCAGAAATACCGGCACCCCATGCTCCACCACTACCCAAGCCTAAGCCTAAATCTAAAAAAGCTCCACTACCACCAAAAAATGCTATTGCTGCTTCCACCACCACCAGCCATAAGAGTAACGAAGCACCTCATGCTAAAAAAAAGGGAAAGGCTCCTGCTAAGCAGCCTCCTCTCCCACCGCCCAAGCCAACAAGTCACAGTGCAAATCGAGAAGCTGGTGAGTACTGCACAGGCAGTGCCAGTTATGGTGGGTGCATGTGCATGGGGGTGCTTGGCTTGGTCTTAAAATAACTTTTGCCTTGGTACATAGCAGCGTTACTAAAGAGCATGCCATGGATGTTTTTAGCTAGCTTCCCGCTGAGCTCGGGTGCTGCTGTCTGCAAACACCCCAGACAATGGACAAATCGTTTCGGTGTTCAATGAAACACCAAGCACATCAGAGACGATATTGAATTCCCAGTTCAAGTGTGAATGCTGGCAACAAAATGACCCAGAGAACTGCTGAAGAATCAGCAGGGAAAAAGGTGACTTCTGAAACCAAATAGATGAGTTGCCCCAAAGTAAAACTACTTTGGTATTGCTGTAACTTTCTGTTGGAAACGTCTACTATTCCAATTCATTTGACAAGATTACAAGATCTCAGAGAGGTAAAGGATAAAACCATGAAGACATCTTTAAAAACTGTTGAGTAGCAGTTGTTTTAGCTGAAAAAAAAAAAAAAACCAACCTCATTAGAAATGGCCAGGCTTCCATGAGCTGTTTGATGGCTTGCTGTGATGCTAAATACACACTGGAAGTGGAAAATGTCAATCATCAGGCACAGAGCAGATGTGTTTGTCACTACACTTCTAAATCAGCAGTGATGCTAGATTAAAGATTATAGGCAGCCATTCTTAAGGTACTGATCTCGAGTTTGAATGATTGTTCTTTAGATGATGACCAAAATTAAAGCATCCAAATATAATTTGAACACAAGCAGTATTGTGATGAACAGACTGTATATATGCATTGGCAAACTTATACAAGCCTTGTGTTTTCAATCCTCTGTCACTCTTGGAAAGCCCTTCAGTCCCTCCAGTTTTCTCTCCCAAGTATACCTCTTCATAGCTTGCACATATTGGCACGTTTTGTATTTGAAGCACACAGAAGAGGACTGTTTGAAAACATTGCAAGACTGCTAGAGTTACAATAATAACTTTGCCGTAAAATATCCATTAACTTGGTATTAACTGTCCTTACTACATCAGATGACCACAAGAATAAACATTCTGAAAACCCAGAATTTGCTGTTGTATTTCACATGCAGCTGGAAAACTCAGTTCTTCCTAGGTGAAGGAACTTTATAACAGCAGACCTTTCAGAAACAAAACAACCCATCACATAAAGAAATCTTTATACCAGTGGTTGGTAATAAGCTCTCAGGTATCTGAGTTCTTAAATTAAAATACATTCAGATTCCAGATTTGTCTTTTAGTAGCCTTGCTGAAATGTCATGCAATGCTGGAGACCACACGGGTGTGAAATATATCCATGTATCCCTTATATAAAATAGTACCTATTCTACTGGTAATTTCTTCCAACAGTAAAAGTACATTGTGTTCATTTGAAGTGGGGCAATACTTAATAAATAGAGCTAATCAGGAGCAGTATTAGTACAAGAGGTTTGTCAGAAAGTGAACACATGATTCAGGCAGTGATCCAGTCCCATGAAGGGGAAGAGGAATATAAGTAACTGAGCCACAGCTCTCCTGCGGGCACCACAGCAGGTTTCCAAACTGAAAGAGTGGAATTGGGATAAGGGGACTTAAACATGGGCATGGACATGTGCCAGAAGGCAAATAACAGCCATGAAATTTTTTATTTAATCAAAATTCAAATCTTCTACTGAAAAAGAAGCATGACAGAAAATTGTCAGCCAGCCCAGTCAAAACCAACAATAGCAATAGTACTTTTGACCCACGTGAAACTGTAGGGGTTTTTTCCCTGGGAGAAGTCTTTCAAGTTTCTCTATCTGATTGCAGGTCCGGAAAGGTTCTGAGGATAATGTAAGGGTTTTTTCAATGGAAACTTCTTTAGACATTTTCCCAGCAACAATTATAGTGTGGTTGTATATTTGTATTATGTTGGAGTTCTTAACTGCAAGCGTGTAGCTGCTTCTGTTGACCTCCAGCCTGTGTTGAAGTGCTTTGCTGGATTAGAACCAGAGCCCTTTCTTACTACCAGCTTACTCAGAAGGGTTACTGTGAAACAATATGCAGATTAGAGCCACCATCTATTTCCACTGCAATTGCAAACTGCTGCCTATACCATTTCTTTGCTTCTTTTTGATTTGCTGTTAAGTCAGTGATTTGTACTTTATGTGGATGATGAGTGCGGTATCAGTAGATTCGGTACAGTGCCCGTTACGGTCACCTTGCAGCAGAAAAAGGGACAGTGATTTGCCTGAAGTTTCTGTGGGTTTTTTCAGATGTACTGAAAGCCTCACAGGATTTTAAACGTTTATCAGCCGTAACACTCAGCTACAGAAGAGGACAGTATAATATGTCTTTTGAATTATTTTCCATCTTCTTTGAGACTGAGAACAGTCTCACTGTGAAAGCTATTTTTATATCGTGAGCTTATTATGGCCGGTATCTGTATTTTGGTTCTATCCCAATCTGCTGGGGTTTTGTTTTTATTTAAATGCTTATAAGTAAAGTAGGCCTTTCAGCAGATTTCTGTTACAGCTTTCTGTTTTACTCGGTAAGCTTAGCTACAGGGCTGCTGTGTAGCTTTATAATGCTTTCATTTGTTCTCTGGAGGTTAATGCATTTTTACTGTAGCAGAAGTATTTGAGTTGGATGCATTTTGATGAAAAGGACTGAATCATAAGATGGTTGTCATTTTTTATTGCTTTTTAAATGAAAGTCACAGGTTTGAAACTCCCAGTCCAGGTGATGTGTGCATCAACACAGCAATCAGAAATGTGGCTGGAATGCACATGGGCATGCAGGCTAGCTGAAATCTCTTGCAAACTTGGGCATTATACATACATGCTTCAATATGGTAAGTATCACAGGATTAAACAGCAGCATCACTGGCCAGCTTGTACAGCTAGAGTCAAAACGTTGTTTCACTACATTTTCAAGGCTACCTGAGTTGGTCACTGGTAAGACGAACACCTTCAGTACATACAGGAGGCCTTCAATGCCTCCTCCCTTCTGGAGATCATTTGTGTAGAGTGGAATTGGTGGTTTCTGCCTCTGTTTTACAAACATGTCCAACTGGACTTGCGAGTACATCTTGTTTTGCTGTCCCTCTGCTGCTTGCCATTATAACATTGTGAAAGGTAATTGACTGATATCCATAATGGTACTGAGGTGTTCATTGAAAAGCATAAGGAAAATCACGGTAAACACGTTTGGAATAAGGAGCTGACTTTTTAGATGATGTCCAGGCAAGTTGTAATGGGCCAATGCAGAATGCTAGAGTCAAACTCTCACCTGTTTGTAAGGTTGATCCCCTCCACTGTTCTTGGGCAAGTATTCATCATTTCAGTTTTTCCCACCTCAAAGGTGAAGTTTGAGCTGCAACATTTACTCGTCTCAAACATACAGATGAAGGATTGTAGATGTATCAAGTGTAATTTTTTTCATTTTCTAAATATCAGCAGAAAGAAGGGTGCAAAAATAATATATTTGCAAGACTGTAAAATGCCTTTTTTTTTTCTTCTTATTTTAGCTAGTTCCTCTCATGCAAAAAAACCACCAGTCTCCAAGTCCTCTTCTTCACCATCTCCTTCGTCCACATCATCTCATCCCAAAGGCTCTAAGGAGACCTCCAGCAAATCAGGCACATCAGGGACTCCCAGGGGCAAGAAAAAACCCGGGAAACAGTCAGCCCCACGAACAGCGCCAGATGGGGCTGCTGCTTCCCCCTCAGGTGCCACAGCCAACAGGTTGGAAGCAAAGGCAGAAAAACCCGAGCCTGAGCAGCCTTCCATAGTGATTTCTGAAACGGAGGACGCAGACCAGCCGAACAAGCTCATTGTCCCCCCTCCTCCCACCGCTGCCCCCCCGCCACCTCCACTTCCACCTCCCTTTCCTGCTGCAGCTGGTCAGCCCGCTGTCTCCTCCGATGCCCAAGATGTGTCAGACGACTGCGTGGCAGGGCCGGCTGGCCCCGGATCAGATACTAAACCTCTTCTTCAGACTGAGCATAGCATGGACGAGAGCCTGAGCAGTACGGCCCTAGGCAGTGGTCCAGATGCTAGCAGAGAAGACACAAAAAGGTAAGACGGTATGGCTGTCGTGGGTGGGTGGTAAGACCCATACCGAGGAAGCCACATTTCTTCGCATAAGGGGCACCGTAGGCACGTGGGGATCTCTTCTGTTTCTTCTGCTGACTGGTAATAGTTTGCGTTGCATCCCAGCACAGTTTGTTCCTTGCCAATGCCTTTGAGCCATTCACCTGCAGTACCTCATATTTCCCCAGAAGGTCATTGCTCATAACCTGCCTCCTATGTCGTTGCGTGGCTTAATGTGACTGCTGCGGTCAGCAGTTCAGCTAGTAGCTGGTAACACTTTTATTTCTCTCTCATAAAGGCAAACAAGAAATGATGCTGAATTACAAGGGGGTTTTTACTATTTTGTGGATATCATTAAATATCTCACTGCTAAAGCTCTCAATTCAATAGCTGAATTTACTTGCACACTTGAAAATGACAGTTTCAGGCTTCGGTTAGTAGGTGTTTGGACTGTCTAATAGCTGCCTAATAGTTTGTCTAAGTCTCAGATGCTATAAAATCTAGTCAAGAGAAGGGTCATAATTACATTTTTTAAGGAAAACAGTTGGCAGCAAAAAAGAAACTGGCTTATTAATCTGTCTTTTCCCTGCCACAAGAATGAGCATCTTTCATAACAACCCAAGAGGGTTTAGTCTAGATGCCAGTGGCCTAGGGACTTTCCTTTAAATCCTTGCTGGTACATCTGTGCCAGCATTATGCTCATGTGCTGCTTTTCCCTTTGCTCTACCCTTCCTTTACATAAAGATTTTCCCAAGGCAGAGGGCACTCTGCTGCTGATTTCCATGTTAATCGGTGATGGGCATGAACATTTTGGACTCAACAGCAGTAAAAACTGTGTTTACAGTAGAGTTAGGCTTCCAGAAGAGGAAGCTTTGCACTCCCATCCGCTCTCTGACTCGCTTTTGTAGTGTTGGTCCCGTCCCACAGGAAACAAAAAAGAATTAGGGTTTTTCCTTGTACAGGCTTTGCAGATTGTTCCAGATTGTTTGCATCTTTTCTCCTAACATACCTACACACAGATACATGTACACATCTGCATACTTTATATATTTAAGTTTTTTAGAAAGGAGAAGTTACTTTGAATAACAGGACTTTTATTTTCATACTTGCTTATACAGTCTGTCTCCCATTTGTGTTCTGTGCTGCTTGCATTAATGTGACACCACGTCTGCTTATTGAATTAACAGCTTGGCTACCAAAGAAGACCAAGAAGTGGAGGCACCTGACCAGGCACGCTCTGAACTGGTGGAGGAGGCTTCTGACGCTGCTGCCCCTCCTGAGAGTGAAAGTGGCAGAGAGAGCCACAGCAGCGACTCGGACTCCGATGGGCCAATACTGTACACGGATGATGATGACGACGACGATGATGATGATAATGCAAGTGCTGAAAGTAAGCATCCCGCTGAGAAGTTGCAGGCTACCTTTTGCACATTGCGTTATGTGAGCGTGCACGAGGCGTGCTAATGCGAAGTAATGAGAGGTATGGCTGCATAGGATGGTTTTAGATGATTTAGTATTTCACCACTACTGAGAAATGACTGTCCCGCTTCTCCCAGACAATTGTGATCGTTGGAGCACCTTAGCAGACAGAGCAGGTCACAGTGGATTACATCTAATTTTACAGCTTTGAAATTTCATCTGGAGTCATGGCTATATCATTTGGCAGAAGTGCTTGCTGCTGCTGAAGGGGGTTGTCCTGCTCACCTTCTGCCTAATGCTTGCTCCCAGCTGTTCATTCTTCCCTTAGGCCAGCGCTCATGTTTATTTTTGCAGTGGTGGCTGTTGTTGAGGAGGGCAACCCTACCTCTACCACCTGCAGGGTGGCCTTATGTCAGAACAAAATGACCGTCAAACCATGGCTTGAGAGCCTTGCCCGCAGCCGTTCAGGAGGAGGTGCTTCACTGGCCTTAGTGAAGAAGGCCTGAACACAAAAGTGCTGTGTGCCGAAGGGGGGTGAGAGAAAATGAACATTTGGGGGTTTTTTCTCTTGGCTATTAGTGCAGCAGAAGGTAAAGCACCAGATAGCTCAAGAGGCTGAAGTCTTCTGCAGTTGTGCGTTTGGTTTGAATATGATCCAAAGCGGTAGCAACCAAAAATTCATGTATTCAGACAGCAGCACGATGTCTTATGAGAAGTGAGCTGGGAGCCTGTGGTTTTACCAGACTGCCTTAAGTGGTGAAAATCTGGCAACCTAGGACATATGTAGCCCCCTCAGTCAGAAGGTCAAGAGACAAGGGAAGGAATAAAGGCTGTGAAAAATACCCTTCCTTCCACAGCTGGCTGAAGCTAAGGCTGACAAAATTGCATGGCCCTTGTCCCTACTGTTATCTGCTTTATGGATGAAGAGATTGCTTTGGTGCCTGGGGATTCCTGCCTAGGTTGCTTTACAAGCACTCAGAGCACTTTCTAAACTGTATTTTTTGTTGTAATTTACAAATCAGTTAAAGATGAGAAGCACCGTACAAGAACTAAGTGGTATTTGATTGAAAAAAATTTGAAAGAATGAGGGAAATGATGACAGCACGAGACTAAGCCATTTAAGGCTGAAGAAAAAGAGCAGCACGTTGCTAGATGTACTAACTAGATAAATAAACCAACCTGTAATGTACCAGACTTCAAAGACACTCAAGCGTAGATTTGTCATTTTTATCCTATCACTTCACAGATGACAAGTGATGTTTGTAAAACTCCTCTGTCAATTTGGCTGGTAGCTTTTTCATCCAAGCCTTTCAGCTTTTTAATGTTTTGAACTGAGCTAAAACTATTTTTCTTTTGATGTTTATTAAAATTCCTCTCCTGCATGTGGGAACAAGGCTGCTTTGGGGAGGTATTAAGGTTCTTACTCAGAGTTTGTGTCTGTAACCTAAGCATGAATGAACTAAATCTACCCTCCTCCTCCTTTCCTCAGGCTCTTTGGCAAGTAAAATTCGTCGTAGGGATACTCTTGCTATCAAACTTGGCAACAGACCATCTAAGAAAGAATTAGAAGACAAAAACATCTTGCAGCGTACATCTGAAGAGGAGAGGCAGGAAATCAGACACCAGATTGGAACGAAGCTAGTGAGGTATCTATATTACTTTGCACAGTAAATGTGATTTCACTGGGCAGAGGTGGAGGAAGAGAATCAAGAACACTGGGTTCACGTTTTAAATGCAGCCCAATATGTGGTGCAGGATATTTATGGTACAGCTGTCTGGAAAACAGTATTTTTATTTCTCACAAAACTTTAAAATGTCAGTAATGCATTTTTGTTCTGCAAGTAACAAATCTGAGAGCTTCTGGGTTTTTGGGTTGTTTGGTTTTTAAAAAAGAAAAGAAAAAAGAACAGGATAAGAGTGACTCCATAGTAATTGGTGCCATGGTTCAAGCTTTTTCTCAGATTGGTTAGCAGGAACTTGCACTTGTATATACCCATCTCAGATGGACTAGTAGTTCCTGACACACAGAGCATGCCTGTGCATGTTTGTCCCTTCTGGCCCTCCCCATCCTCCTCCTGCCCTCTAACTCCTTCATTGTTCATGTGCTGGTTCCAGCAAAAGAAATGGAAGGAGGCTGACTTTGTAGGTCAGTGTTTAGTGTTTTACTCTGCCCACCTCTGAGGCATGTCTTTCTCATGCTGTTTAACTGCTGTGCAATATGTGTTACTTTCTCTTCCTGGACTTGAGAATGTTGCATAAAAAATCACTAACTTTCACTCGCATTTTTACAAGCTTTTTAAAAAAAACCCTCATAAATGGTGATTTTGGCTTTCGTGGTCTCTGAGAATAGACTACAACATGTCTGGATTTTCCCAGACCTGTCCTTGTTTCTCTTGTGCTCAGAAATGTTGTCCAGGCAGATTTGGAGGATATCCTGTGTTTGTTGGAGATTTCCAGATACTGGGTAGTCCAGCACAGAGTACAGCAGACCTGCATCAGCACTTAGAAGATGAGCTGAGTTGCTCTGCAAACCGGCTGGCTGGCTAAGTCGTTTATTTCATCCCTTAACCATCAGAGCGATACATCTATTGTGTAGAGCTCAAGGGTCATTTTTCTTCTGCTGATAAAGTAGTGTGGTTGTTATCACCACTCTCCTGACCGAATCCCAGCTCCGGTGATCGCATCCTGCTTGTCGGTGCTCCCTTGGAGGCCTGAACTGCAGAAGTCGCTCCAGTTCCTGCCCCGAGCTCCTTGTGCGAGGGACATTGCTGCTTCTGCCTGGAAGCTGGCGCGCTCCCGCGCAGCCCTGCTTTGGTAGCAGGAGGCAATGTCCGTGCGTGTCAGGGCCGTAGTCACGCCTGAAAGCACAACCAAGTTTGACGCCAGTTCCTTAAAAATTCCTGGCGTGGTGGTCAGCATCGAAGACTGATGGGAGACCTGTTCCCACAGCTCGGTCAGGGTCGGGTCAGGTCCCAGCCTGGGAATTCCTACAGCCGGGGCTGGTTACATGGGGTAAACCTGCCGGTCCTCCCCGCCAAATCTGAAAGTCCAAGCATGGTTTGAATGAGATGGGTTTCATGAGGCCGAAGATAAACTGCAGTGAGTGTGCTGGGCAGAGAGGCATCTATCTTTAACAAATCCGCAAAATTAATTTTACAGCTGAAATTTTTCTTGCTCCTTTTTTCAAGTGGACAAGTGAACCTGTTTAGTAAACATAGAGACAATACCAACCATGTTCTCCACTACACAAACCAGAAAATCAGTATCTCAGGGTTGGTCTTTTTTAATGGCAGTTGTTATATATAGGTAACTAAATAAAATTAACTTTCAGTTAAAACTCCCAATTGTGTTGTACATACAAATCAGTGAGGAATGCACAGCTTATGTTGGTTGGTTTGTTTTTTTTAAATAATTAATAGGATTTGCATTCAAAATATCTGAGAATAATCTTACAATTGCAGAGCGAGCTTATCATAATTACAGTGCTTGGGGACAAAAAGGTTTATGAACTCTTTCATAAGAGGGGGTGTTTAAATTTGCTGGTACAATTTTTGTAGTACTATGCAAGTATCAGTTATTTATGTGTTTGAGTGGCAATAGTACATCTTTTAAAACAAATGGCCACTCGATACTGCGGTTACATGCACAATTATTATAACTGTGTCTGGAAATTGCCTGTGTTGTCGAATACCTCTGCTGGAAAAGAGTAGCATGCCCATATGAGAAACACCTTTTAAGCTGTATTACAAATCATAATGTAAATCAGTCACTTACTTTGTTCTCACAGGAGACTTAGCCAGAGGCCTACAACTGAAGAACTAGAGCAGAGAAATATCCTAAAGCGTAAGTATTTTATTCAGGTTTCAGCTAGTATTTACTTAGAAAGTGAGCATATGTTGGATTCATATGGAAGCCTATCATTGTTGCTGTAGTATTAGAGCCTGGAGAGATAACTGGAGAGAAATTCTGTTCTAGAAAATAACCTGTCGACACCAGATCTATATGGTAACCTGTAACAGTAGCTGTGAAAATGGCATATATTCAAGATGCTGAATTTGCTTGTCTTCTTAATCCCACTTCTTGAAGCTGGTCCGAAAGACCAGGAATGACTTAGATACCCCTTAGAAGTAGTTCTAGGCTGGTTAAACTCCTGCCTAATTTCCAGGAGGAGAAGGAGGAGGAGGAGGGAATATCAGTAGGAGGCAGGGGTGGGATATAAGGGCAGAGACTGGAAGGTGGAGTAGAAAGAGGAAAGGTTCAAGGGCAAGTGAATAGGTATATGCCAATTACTTCAGCATGCTGGCCTTCATATCCACTTCTGACATCTTCTGTACTGAAACTTGCATGAGACATTCTCACTGAATATCTTTCCATTGATTAAATCCTTCCTCGGTATCCCTCTTGAAAAATTTAAGTCTATAATTCAAATAGTCAGGGCAGAGGAATGAAGTACATTGGATGTTTACCCTCTACACCTATTCTCCCATTTACTCATGTTGGTTTTGTTCTTAGGCTGGCAAACACTTCAGAACAGGCATTTTTTGTCTTCCTTTATGAATCTTTCCGTAATATGGACATTACCTAAACACATACTGTAACAGTTGTCATGCCCAGCTCCTCTAGCCCTGTGTTGATTCTGCAAGGGTAGCTAGTGCTTGATGCTTAAGTAGAAGAAGTAAAAAACCAAAATGCACATGGAAGCTTTTCACACATAGAAACAAATCCAAAACATCATCTATTCTTAAGGTGTAAGAACTTTCTAAACTTGGTGTAACCGAAGGAGTAGGTATAATACCGTTAATTTCCAACAATCATTCAGAAAAGTTGGAGTTCATCTGTGCAGCCCTGGTGCACAGCATGCTAATGAAAGAAAAGCAAATGGGCTGTTTACCTAACAAAATCCGTGGCCTGATCATTCTGTCACCTGCTCAGGCCAGCAAATCAAGGAGACATAGCAATTATCGGCTTTCAGGCAACCACCCATGCTAATGAAATCCCACTGCTGTTGTCTAAGCTCTCAAAAGCCAAATAGTGCCATGTCTTACTGAAAAGGGAAGCTACAGTTTCTGCATTATGGTGCACAGGAGAGGGGTCAGGGGACTCCTGTCCAATACATAATGCAAATAGACCTTCTAAGACATAGTTTCTGAACCTATAGATTGCATAGATAAATAAATTTTGAAGTGTGAACCTTTTTTATGCGATACACTGCTCATGCTGGACTATGTGAGAAAGGTAATTCCAAAACATCTTTGGTGGGCCAGGGCATGGCGACTGAGCTGGGAGCACCAGCTGGCCTTCCTCACTGCCCTCTGTCTCGCTCGTCTCAAGGTAACTAATCTAGCAGCCAACCTGCGATGTATTTAATATCCCTTTTGCTATTGTTTATTCCGTTCACTGATTTTGCAGTAAGTAGCTCAAGACTGGAAAGCAGTTAATAGATTTCTTCTGTTTCAGCTTGTTTACTTTAAGCTTTTGGCAGCGTACCAGGCTGTGCACTCAATGCCTCCTGCCGTCCTCCCCTGCTGCTGCCGGGGGGCTGTCTTAAAGAGGCAAGGGAGAGCAAGAAATAAAGGCTGGGAAGCAGCTTTATAAATCACAAAAAGTCACAGCGTCATCGACGAGCATGTGGAGAATCCAACACTGCTTTTTGCTCATCACCAAGATACAAAATATTTTGAGTTGATAGTGATCTGTAAAAAGCAAAGTGAACCAAAGCAAGCCAGGGTTTGTGGTGACAGTCTGCCTCAGAGCCCTTGCAGGGTGCAAGTTCTCTCTCAGCTCTAAAGCACTCATATTATTTATCAAAATTATTACATTCCCTTCCTGTGGATCATTTGAAAATGTTTACATCTCTTAAATGCCTTTGTTGTTGCAGGCAGCTTTTGTGAATAAGTTGGGATTTCTTTCATAAAGCTTACTTCCTCCTATTTTTAAGCAGTGGATGGGGAGAAGGGGTTATATTATTGCGTGTATGTAAACTACAGCTAAGGGAAAGTATTGTATTGAGTTATATTTGTCAGACTTTGAGGTTACATTAAGTGGTAAAGGTCTAAATGTTTATTTCAGGATTAAGTTCAGCCCAGATCTTTTAAGAGGTTCAGAAAAAGTCCATTTTTTTTCCTTTTTTTGTATTTCCAGTTAGTGAGGAAGTCTGTCTTGCAAGAAGATTTGTTTTGATAATACTTCCAGATAAACCAGTTACTGAAAATCCTGTGACCAAGTACTATCGCAAGACATTGCAGGCAGATTTCTATAAAAACAATTTGGATAAAACTATCCAGACTCCTGAGTCTTCTCACACTAAAACAAAGTTAGGATAACTGAAGAGTCCACTTGAAGGAATAGATAAAGCCCCGTGGTTTTAATAAAGGCAGGTTTCTTGTGTGCTGGCTTTGAGCCAGTAGTATTTATAGTATTGCATTTTGGCAAAGAAACTTTTTATTCTTCCAGGAATTTCGGATTAAGATAACTGTATTTTTTCCTGTATTTGTAAGGGACAGTGAACTTCTTGTACTGTGCACCTACATGCCTGCCAGTACTGGCTTTGTAGAAAACAGGGTTTATAGCTCTTGATGCTAGTTAAGAAATATTAATGGTTATCTTTGCTTGTAAAACCAGGAAAGAGAAACCACTTTGTGCATTCCAGAGCACTGCAAGAGGCAAGCGCTTTGTTTGTCTTTTCTTTCTCTTTCCCTAGCAAGCCCGCAGAGAAGTCTAAACATAGCTAATCCCATAGGGACACAATGGAAAGTTCGGTTTCACACTCCGAGAGTACTTTCTGGTCAAGAACGGAGCAGTCCTCAGGCAGAACAATTTCTCTCATCTCTTTTCCCCTTCTGCTATGAAACAAATGTCCCACAGAACAGAAGGTGACCAGATTTAACATGGCAAAACCTGCAGGAGCAATAATGTATAGATGCCAGGGAATCTGCTTGTTTGGCTTTGACCGGTGGATTGTTTAACTCGAAGGCCATGATAAGTGATGCTAAACAAAATTGTTTCAGTTAGGAGTCAGCTCCCAGTTTGACCTGCTAGGAGCTGCAGGCAGGAAAGGAGGGAAGCCATAGTTTTGCTGGGATCTAACTGGAGACTCCTGCAAGCAAAGGGTGCTCGCTGGGCTGGGCCTTTGCCAGTAAGGCAGCAGCGGGACATCTGAGGAGGGGACTTGCAGCTGGGAACTCTGTGTTTATGTTTTCTTTCTCCACATCACACAGATTAGATCTGCTTTTAAGGTGGAAAGCAGTCAGAAGTATGTTCCCGTGCATTAATGCGTTCCTGTTTGGGCAAGTGAGTCCGTTCGTACCTGCAGTCAAAACTTGGCCCTCCGGCTGGAATTTTCCACAACACCTGAAGGAAGCAGGAGCACCAGACCCATTATTTTTAGCACCACACATCTTCTTAACTCACTACGGCAACTCTCAAAACTTTTACCTTAAAAGACCAAAAATAACGCTGTAGGTTTTACTGTTGGTAGGAATTTGTATCGGGGCAGTGTTTCTGTAGCACCGGGCTTAAAGCAACACTGCCCAGCAGGCTGGAGATGGGAAGTAGGTGCTTTAGGTATGAGTCAGTGCCGTAGACAGAGGGCCATTTGCCAAACAGCGGATTCAATATCTTAGCAGCAGCCACCAGGTTTCAGTCCCTTTCCTTTAGCTCTTGTGTTTTATTCCTAGAAGTAAAACAACTCGAAGGTACAAAACACATGCTGCCCCCTGACCTCTCATGCAGAAGCCTGCGTGTTCCCCATGGGTTCGATCTCCTCCTGCTTTGACCAGGAGTGAAGGAAGCTGCTGGTGCCTGGTATCTGGTGTTAGAATTGTCTTCCAAAAGGTGGGCTGCCAGCTCTCCTCAACAGCCTGCTCCAGGACCTGCCTGGACCCTCTGCCCAGCAGCTAAGATGATGGACTTGCTCCTCTCCCATTTGTAGGTGGTTTCCCATCTCCAGCCATCCCTTTGTGCAGTCAAACTGCTACGCACAGGGAGGTAGCTTCGCAGCATGGGATAGGCAGCTAACCTTCAACCTTCCTAAATGTCCAGATCAACTTTTTGGAGTTACTTTATCCTCCCCCAGAATATAGAAGAACTATTTCAGGTGCCCATGCTGTTGGTAGTTGTTTCTTAAGGTATGCATTAAGCAATGTGAGTTCCTATTTCTTACATCAGGCGTCTTCTTGCCGCTTCATAGGAGATGCTGTGGTTTAGATAGCAAAGAAATGTCAAGATATGAATAATGCAGAATGTATTTTACAAAGTAAATTAAGGAAAAAGCAGTACAGCGATGTGTATATCCAGCTACATTTTCTTCTGCTGTGTCTGCTACTGGAGAATTTCTGAGGTAGGACTTAAGCAACTTAGTTCATTGAAGGGAGAAAATTTTTTATGTCAAATGATTCCCAGGTGAATGGAACCCCAAATTAATAGTTTGTGTTTAAGTACCTCAGTTACTATGTCTATTGATTGCAAAGATAGTATGTTTAAACAAAAGCCTATGGATCATTGTCTGTCCTAAAACAGCTAGAGAGCTTTTGATTTTGTTAGGTGAAGATGTTATAAAAAGAGTTCTCATTTAAAGTCGTAAGTCTTTAAATACACCCAACTTGTTTATTGATATATTAATAAAAAAATTTAAAATGTAGATTAATCTTTAACTCTCCATTCTTCAGTTTTAGTCAGTTTACAGTTCCTCTATGGAAACAGGCCATCCATCTCTTCACCGTTTAAGAGAAAAGCTATTAATAAACCATAAATTACATCCACATTTCAGTATCTCAGTAAAATCACCATCAGCACAAGTTCCAACCTAATCCTGGCAGCAAGCCTGTGTGATTGCATCTTGCTGATGGAAACCTGGGGTTGATGTTGGACTCTTCCCACAGAGCAGGTCTTGGGCTGGCATTGCCTTTTTCCTACTGTAACTTTCTTCTTTTTCTTTTTTATCATTTGTTCCTCTTCCCCTTTCCTTTGTATTCTTTTTACATGACAGCCTTTGAGTTAGCAAAGGAGATCTGCAAGTACCACGTGGTGTCCTGTTGTAATGTTGCCTCCAGTGTATCAGTCATGATACAGAAGGTCCTCTGCAACCAGGTTGCCTGTGCTACCACAGCAGGCTGGCCATAGCAGACAGGGCAAATCAGACTATACCAGGATTTAAAACTGCCTTTTCATCTATACAGGTTGGCTGCATCCACAACAGACAAATTAATTCCTTTAAATTTATAGTTAGCCTTGAACTGCAGTGTGGAGTCCATAACCACCAACCACAAATAAAACAGGATCAGGATTTTACAGATATCTCTAGGTGGGATATTTGAGCCACCATAAAGCTAGCTTTGCGTATAGCCGTCAGAGGTGGACTGAAAAGGCAAACAATACCCTTCAAAATGTACATCAGTTAAAAAAAATGCTGAGTCTGTATGAACATGCCTTTGTAAGTGTGCTTTTCACTGGCACTCAAGAAATCCAGTTTGTTTAGCACAGAAATTTGTTAAAAGCACATTTCTGTCTCATGCCCAAATACATTCAAAAAATGCATGTCTTTTTCTGCTATACTTGTTCATTTGGTCTAGCTAGTGGCCCTTAACCAAGAGGGCTTGAATGCTGAATCATTATAAAACTAGAAAAAAAAATTAAAGTAACAAACCTAATTTGCACTAACAAATGACAGTGAAATGAATTCTTATTGATTGATTGCATCCTGTAGCAGCAGAGGACACTTGGCTGATTCAGATACTCAGAGAAAACTTTTTTCTTGACCCTTAGGAATAATTAGACTCTTACTCTAAAGTCAATAGGTGGCATGTTGGAAGTAAAAGCAACGGTGATTTTAATGTTAGGACAAGTAATTGAAATATTAGGCAGCTCTTTCAGGGTAATTCTTGTTTGCTGTTACACAGAAAGAAAATTACAGACGCCTCCTCTTTGCTGTGTTCCTGACCCACAGTGGTGACTTGAGATGTCTACAGAATCAAGGGAAATGAGGATAGGGAAAAGAAATGAGAGCACACAAAATCCAAAAAACAGACAACACATGCAGAAATATGAGGAAACATGAGCCAGGACTTGAAGTCCTGAAGCTTTCAACCAAGAGAAATACACAGTATGTGCAGTTATAATACTTAAATATTCACTCCTTTTTATCTCTTCTGAAAACAGAGAAGAATGAAGAAGAGGAACAGGAAGCCAAAAGAGAAATAAAACGTAGACTCAGTAGAAAGGTGACGATGTGTTTTTTGTATTGTGTATTTGTGTACATAGGATTATTTTTTATAAGATTCTAAAAATCAGTGTATATATATTACTGCAAATGTCCATCAGTCATGCACCCAGATTAGAAATCTGTTTAAAAAGCAGTACAAGCCAAGCCCATCTTGGGGGAAGCTCCATCCTGTCCAGTTTCCCATACCTGGAAAAGCATACAGAGTCTGGCCATGCTTAGTATTTGTCCATGTCAGCAGGGGAGAGAAATGACGCGTGTTTCCTCTCTGAGCATGAGCACTGCTGTCACGTATGTTCGAGGGCAGCCACACCTGTAGATCCACTCTTCCCTGGAGCAGTGAAGAGGGCAGCAAAGCAGCGTGGGCCCTAAGAAATCCCTTCACCGTTCTTCTAACCACGTCAGTGGTCTTGGCCGCTGCAGGTGGGATTGCGCTCATTGTCCCTGGAAAGAAAGCAGTTATGGATCTGCTGCCCTGACTTCGGGAGCTCACTCTAGGAGAGGATGGGGGGAGTTTTCATACGTATCCCTGGTCTGCCCTTCTCTGCAAAAATAGTTTCCTTAATGTGATCATCCTTAGTTAATTAAAGTGAATATTGTTTGAGGTGACTGAAACCGTTTGGCATCATAATGACCCCCAGATGTTCAAAACCAATTTTTTTAGTTAGGCAGGCACCTCCAAATCTTGCTTATTTTCAGTATTATAGTTGAACACAGCAGACTGTGTTATTGTTAATGCAAATGGACCTACTGTCTAGTGGGGCAAATGGTGTGACAGTTGCAAAGTCACAATTAATATTCCAGGGATAACTGTCATGATTCTCTGTGACCTGCCTGATAAAGACTATTTTTATAATTGAAGAAATTAGGTTGTGCTGCTTCTCCATTCCTGTGCAATGCTCCCAGGATGGTGCCTTTTTTTAGACACCTGAAAGTGACCCTATTTAGAAATACCATTAAAGTTCTCTTGAGATTACATCATACCCTCAGTTTTTATTTTATTTTATTTCATCTTATTAAACATACTATTTTCTGCCTCCCGCTTACAGCTCAGCCTGAGGCCTACAGTGGCTGAACTTCAAGCAAGAAGAATCCTTCGATTTAACGAGTACGTGGAGGTCACAGATTCTCCAGATTACGACCGTCGTGCTGACAAGCCTTGGGCCAGGTTAACTCCCGCAGACAAGGCAAGGGACAAATGTAGATTATAAGAAAATACTTGCATCTGTCACTCTTGGGGAGCTTTCCTCTGGTTTACATTCTCTTGATGCCAGCATCACGAATGACATCTGCTGGAGGCAGCGAGATTGTCATGGTACTACTGTGCATCTACTGCTCGCAGCTAAGAAAACCCACTCAGGTGTTTATTAGGAGTGTAGTTGCCACCTCCATTACAGCAGTTCAGGCCAGAATTTCTTGCATTTTTAAAGCCTTCCTAAGCCAGGTACACACTGTTAGCAAAGATGGCCACGGCCTGTGGAATTCAGGCAAGGTTTCTGCAGGCAGAAGCCTGTGTCGCTGCCACCGAGAGTTACTTTTGCAACTTATTCAAGTGAAAAAAGGTAGAAGCTGCTCCATCCTCCTAAGTGTTCTTGGCCACAACTGTCGGTGCAGGAGCTGACCATATGTGTGCAGCACACCTTCTTGGGAAGTTTGCCCCCAACATGCTGCAGCTAATAGTTCTTCTGCCTAACTACACAGGATGAGACAAATGACTCCGTGACTCTCTTTTAAAAAACAGGTCACTCAAAGATTACCATAAAACACTCTTCCATTTCCCTCCTATACCACTTCATAGGAGGAAAGCTCTAAGGATTTATGTATAAAAAAGTGTTGGCCCTTTTAGCACTGGGTCTGAACCAACTTTTATGGAAATCATATGCGATGTGCTTGGCATGAAAAGTGATAGGTGCAAGAACCCACTGTCTTTTAGCTAAGGACTGTGAAGAACTGATTTTATTTCAGCTAGTATTTTAATATTAATGCCAGCTCATCTGACAATCAAAGGAGAATCTCATATCAAGTCAAGGTGGTGACATGAAAAATGTACCCAGAAGCGTTTGTCAGTGTTGGTTCTGGGAGGTGCTGAGCACTCTCTAGTCCTCACATAGTCTGTGGGAAGTTAGAGCACCCAGCACCTCCACTTTCACTTAGGTCCAGCTGGGTAAACTGCACTAGAAGAAACAGTGGGATTTTCCTACCTACTTGAGGGTAGCAGTTTTTAATCTCAATTCATTTTATAATGAACAGGTGCCCAAGGCTTGTTCTGTGACCCCCATGTTTGTTGGCCTCAGCAGAAAGGCAGACCCCGGCTTGCCTGGAAACTCCCTTGCCCTTTTTTCCCAGGGAAGTTATTTTTCTAATTCCAGTGGGAGTAGAAAATTGTACTGTGACTATATTACGGAGCTAGAGCTCTGGTGTCTTTGCTGCTGATTCGGTGCTCAGAAAGAGCTGTCTCTCTCCTAGCTATTACAGCAGCCTCGTGTAAGCATGCTGTTGTGGCTAAACCATCCCCTGCTTAAGATGAAGTTTCTCATTTATGAGACAGCAGTCTGGTGATGCTATAATTTTATCATCCTGCTTGTCTGTTCTGCATTGAAAGGCATGCACATCAGGTGAGATTTCTTTAGCGATTAATGAAATGATACTGCTTTAATTTAAAATGGTGAAATAAAAGAGTGAGTAAGAATAAACTGTCATTTCATTTCACAGTGAAGGTAGGAAAGCATATGGCATAGAAACAAAAATCCTTGTAGTATATATTGGTCTATTTCAGAAATTGTATTTGTTACTTGATGAAGCAAATCGCTTATCACTCTTTTAACATAAGCAACAAGGCATTTACAAAGTGCACTGAATTTCTGCTGATCTTCAGTATCTGCCAACCGAAAATGCAAGCCTGAAATGTCCAAATATTTCATGTAATTTTACGTAAACCTAATCAAACCAAGTGACTAATTCCACTTTGAAAAATGCTATTCATCTTGTATCCCTGAAGTCCTGTCTCCAGTGGGGAGATACAAGGCCCCCGCTGTGTGTACAGTGCCTGTGCAGGCAGCGTGACTCACCAGCTCCTCAGGGGCTCTGCCTGGAGATATAATCCCCTCCTGGCTGCATAGTCTGCAGGTGACTGTCAAGGTAACCCAATCCCTTGCCCATTTTTGTCTGTAGCGAGTGCCATATTTCAGTGGGGGGGTTGGTTCACCTGTTGCAGTAGATTTGGTGTTTCTTTCTTTATTGTTGGTGTTTGATGCTTTGAGTTTCTTTGTAGTGTATTACTGCTCCAAACAGCTGTAATTGAAAAAAGTCATTCATGTTGATGGTCAGAAATGTGTGAGAGCTGTGGATTAAAGTACGGGAGACCAGACAATGGGAGCTGTAAGGGAACCTGCAAGAGTAGGGCCAGGTTCCTTTCAGACTCTTTACTTTCCTTGAGATTCATATTTCTTACGGATGCATATATCATTGTTGTTTATTAGGCAGCAATACGGAAAGAACTGAATGAATTTAAAAGCACAGAAATGGAAGTACATGAGGAGAGTCGACAATTTACCAGGTGGGTGAATCTCTCTTCTTGCGTAAGTTGGAGAGACGAGTATGACAGTGACCCTCTGCCTTTCTGCAAGTCCTCTGCAGTTGTGTCATGACTTGTGTAGATTCCTACCATGAGTCCTCCTGAATCCCACCTGAATGCCACCACTGATTCTGTTGGGATTCCCAGTGTTGCTGCTGCCATCCATGAAGTTGGGTAGTTGACACAGCAGTGAAGGTGACTGCAGTGGATCAGTTGCTATATGGAAAAAGATTGTTTGGGAAATTTAAAAAATAATCCTTTGAAAGGACTCAGCATTTCTCACAGATGAAGTTAACAGTCCTCAAGCACAAAAAACGGGACATCCTTCTCAGGCAGTACTCCCTTGCTCGTGAAAGGTATACGTTTTTGTAGATGCGTTTGGTAAGTGAAAACTAGATGGTGTGCTGAGCTTCAGAAAAGCTCACCACTGTTTCGGGGAGCTTCCTAAGGGTCACCCAGGCTCCTGGCAGCAGTTTCTGGGGAACAAGACAGATTCTAGTATTCTCTGCTTGCTACTTCTAATGTGTTAATCTGGATTTGTTTTGTTCTCTGCTTTGGATAACACCAAGATACTGCCTGAAGCATTATTATCTAAAGAGCTCTGAAGTGTCCACAGTTTTTAGCAGGACTTCAGATTTGGCAGTTATTCCTAGGGGGAGGGAGGCGCTTTCTGCCATCCCCATAAACATCTGTTTGTATTTCTTCAAGGTTACAAAGGCTGAAAATTGCCACCAGCAAGCAAAACATGCTGTTAGGATCAGCCGACATTGCATACATAGTATTATTTTCTTCACTTCCACACAGAGTTAAGTCAAATAAAAACAATTGCCCAAGACTGGATCCCTTCCTTTTCCTGCTACTGTTTCAATCAAACTCAGGACCCAAGCAAGTGAGTGTGAATCCTCTAATTAAAGAGAGTGTCACAAGGAAAATTCACAAAGGGAGATGGGTCTTTGGTGATTTCTGGCATCTCCTAGTTCATTGCTTTATTTCATAACTTCAGTGGGGTTTTTCTCACCAAAACATGGATTTTTTTTATAATACTGTAAACTCACTTCAGTGTACATATAACATGAATAAATTAATTTTCAAAAAATCAAACCAGTTTCACAGACAGCAGATTTAATCCAGGAGATGACCCAGAAGGCAGGGTTTTAATCTAGTGTCACATTCTGACCATTAGAGAATGTCCTTTTCAAGCACAGATATGTAGATTTTTCATTTGACTTCTGATGTCATTTTCTCTTCAGCTAGTAGGTAGTATATCTTCTTCAGAATACATATAAAAATACTACTTTAAAAAAACAGGCATCCCAAGGGAGGAAAGAAAAAGGAGCAGGAGTAGAAACCTGGTTGTGTGCTGAGAGAGATGGAGTGCAACACCCTGCTTACATAGTTAATGTTTTTTGATTTGCATTGCAATATAGAAGCATAAGTACAGGTAGACATGGGTCACACAAAAAGAATCGGCTGTTTTTTCATGATAATTGAAAACAGTTGAGACTGATTACAGTTGGATTCTTGAAAGCTGAACCAAAAATCTCAGGGATCCAGTGGAGTGACAAACCAGTTAAAAAGTTATTTTTTCTTTTTTTTTTTTTTTTTTGAGGAGGAGGTCCTTGGAAAATGGAGTAAAAAATAGGCACAGCCAAACTGTGATAATTATAGGCAGTGATTCTGTAGGGTCCTGGAAGAATTTCAGCCTGAGGGAAATCGGGCTCTCTCTGTTCCCTCTCCACCCTCTTATTTTTTTACTGGTCATGTTGTGGAGCCACTGCACAGAAGTCAGCAGAGTAACACTAGAAAAAGCTAATTAAGAGCAGAATTAGATGCAGATGTTTTAAGTCAATTGCAATTCTGAAAATAAAAAGAGATTCTGTTTCCTCTGGGACGTCTCATTAAAAATTATGTAGCTCACCACTACATTTGGATTGATACAACAAAAGTGATTTGTTTTAAGAAAACCGTAGACAAGTCTCTAGCCAGAGAATGAATTACTCATCTTTTAATTTTTTTCAAAGAGATCGCTGAGATAATACAAACCAAAAGGCAAGTGCATTGGCAGCTGGTTAACAAAGGCTTATTCATGAAGTTCTGTGATAGAATGAGACAACAGGGAAGCAGCTTATTAAACAAAAACAGCTTATAGCATTTAGTTTCTTATATTATTATGTATTCAATATAAGATGCTTTAATATTATAATCAGTATTTACAGTATCTGTGAATTGTTAAAATTTGATATTAAACTTGGGAAAGAAAAAACACTGGATTTCATTGTTCATCATTTAATGTAATGACTGTCAGTTGAACTGTTTTTCTACTCCTAGTAAGTTAGACTGATTCCTTCTGTTATTTCATAACAGAGTTTCTAAAAAAAAGAGAAGTAAATAAAAGTTTGGGAAGAGGATATTAGTAGATGTTTATAAAGTGCTTCTAATGGAAATGCTATATATAATCCAATATATTGCTGTTCTACACAAATACAAAAAACCTCTGTCTTTTTTGCAATGGACTGTATCCTCACCTAGCAGATGAGCTACATACTTGTGAACCTCAGCTTTTGTGTACACTTCCTTTATTTGAGAAATGCATCACTGTATTGTACTGTACCGCATTACAGGGATAAATTGTGGTTTATTTTCTCTTCTCTGGAACTGTTAAGAGAAAATGTGTCAAACAAAAACTTATGTAATCTACTGTGTTAGGTGCATCATTACCTATGCTTTCTTAAAGTTGCTACATCTTTTACTACTTCATGGATAGATATATTTTTAAAGCCATTTCAACAGAGATTTAGAAGTCTGGTGATGTTGAGCACCTGATATTGGTGCCCTTCTTACCCTTTTGCTTGGATTCATTACATTTAAAATGAGTTAGAATTTCAATTACTGTAGGCTCCTAACTTATTCTAGAAAAGGTTGGCAACACCCTTTGGAGCAGCCCACCTCTCTATCCGTCACACAGGCAATCTGGAGTGAGGTACATGCCCTACCTAGAAGTCTAAAAAACAGTGAGGTGTATTTGGGCCTTCATGTGCCACAGCTGGCTGCTGTTAACAGGAAGAAAGCATCTGCAGTGCTATAAAATCTGTTGCTACTTAAAAAAATGCAAAATTTTTGTTAGCCTCATTTTGCACAAGGATTAAAAAAAAAATGTTTTATGGCTTAGCAAAGCTTTTCTGATTTTCTGACAGTGTCTCTAAATAGCAGATGCAATTGTGGCTAAATCTATATTGGCAAACAAAACAGACTGAAGACGATTCTCCAGCCCTGAGGCCAGCAGGCTTGTCACAGCTTGAATTCATACAGTTAACCTCTTCCCCTCGCCCCAAAAAGGTGACGTCCCCCCATACCCAGTCTGCCTATTGGCCTGTGCTAATCCCAGCCATGCCCAGGCAGTATCTGGAGGAGCGCTGGTTGACCCAAGCAAACCTGTGCCAGGGGCCACAGTAACAGGTTAATGATATGGCCAGGCAGACGTACACCAGTGCCTGAGCCACACCATAGCCCTGTTTGGTTTTCTGGTAGAGAGAGACGGACAGCAGGGAATAGTAGGGATGACTAATCCCACACAGATTGGGCAAACCGGGAATAATTCTGTTCAGGCAACAAAAGTAAACAGCTGTGAGAGCAGGCTGAGGATCAGTGTCATTGTCAGTTGAAATAATACAATTCTAAGTTTTTTAATGATTTATCATTTCAGGTTTCATCGTCCGTAACTGTTGGACCACATCCCATATTTCATGTAACAGTTTTCTTGGGGAAATCATTGCGTCCTGAAGACCTGAGATTGCACTGGAACTGGACTGAGTATGAGTGTGTGCTACAGCTTACCATGAGGCTAATGAAGGACGTGGCCTTCATTTTTATCAATGGACAAATGATTTGTCTAGGAGGAGAAGCCACATGAAGTGTTTGTCATTGTTAAGACAGACCATGGACAGTTCTGTGGCTTGCCCGCACAGAGTCAGTGGACTTCTTCATCGGAGCTCCACAAGTCAGGAAGAGCTGAAGACAATCGCTTGAGAGCCTGTTACCAGGAACTCATCAGACTTCATAGGGTTGTGGCTGAGGGTAACTGAGAGGGGGCTGTGTGAAAAGGGCTGAGAGCATGGGGGAAGAGACTTCGCTTGTCAGTCCACAGGGAAAAGTGGAATGGATGGGACTGCGTAACAATGCACTTGGCCAGTGGGAGGAATTATTTTTCTAAAAAAACTGAGAGTGTGAGCAACTGTGCATGTTTGGTTTTTTTTTAGTGGCCACAGCCTGTCTTAGAAAGACAGCAAGACACAAGTCCTCATGTCATCAGTACTTTAGTGAAGAACTGTAATTTTCTCTGGTGCCAGTAAATACAGTTGCCAGAAATTAGTCCTAGTATAACTCAGCTCTTTTTTAAAATCCCGATGAGCATGCTTCAGGAAAATACATTGAACATTCATAGAGAACAAGTCATATATTTTTTGGTTTTTAATGTTGACATACTCTGGATCCTCAGAAATACATAAACAGGATTTGAAGGACAAATAACATGACACTATGAATGCCATGAAATGCTTCATGTTTAGAAACACTTCTTGCTGTCTGTCACTTGCCATTCAAACCAGAGGGATCATTATCTTTCTCACCTATGGCAGGCAGTGGTGACAACTTCAACATCATGCTAGTGTGAATCCAAAATCAGAATTGGAATTAGGCACAAAAGTTTTTACTAGTAGGCTTGAGCAGTGATTCCTAGTGTGACTTTTTACGTTTAAGGACTTTTGCACTGCTTTGGGGAAGAACTCACAGATGAATCAGTATGTCTTCAGCCAGTGGTCCTGTAAAAGTGAACGGAAAATCCTTAGAGTGTCTGCAGCCTGTTTTTGTTGAGTGTGAAGAATGCTTCTTAGACTCATAATTTTTTATACTATCTTGAAATTGTACATGTGAATACAATACTATTACAATCAAGTGGTATGGAGTGTGAAAGGCAATACATGGTTTTTCTAGGCTGGCCCAAAAGCCCATTAAAAAGCCTGTGGCGTTGTTTACACTAAGAAATTATCTGTCTTATATTAGCACTTATTTATCCTTTGAATTAATGTACACAACAATTGGGGGGGGGGGGGCTGGAATTCACATATGCATACATTTAATGCAGTATTACAATATATTTGCTATTTATCCTTTCTAATGTGTGTACATATTACAATTTATTTTTGTCTTTTATGTGCCCTGTTTAGTTTTTAATTATGAAGTGTAAGTATTTCTTTTTCAGGCAATAAAAGGTCTGTGTAGATGTGATTTTTACCTCAGAACCTGCAATAGATTCTTGTGGAATGTTTTTAGTTTATAAAATTGAAGGTTGTTGTTTTAGATGTCAACCTAAAGGCAGGAAGGCAATTTGGTGGCTAAAATTTGATCTCCCTCTTTAGTGATATTTACAACAAGACCAGGTTTGCATAAATGGGGTGGATTATTTTAGTAGGAGCACTTCTAGTAACAGCAGAGTGCTTTCCAACAGCTGGCACTCTATTATTTTTAAAGAGATTAACAAACTTTTTTAAAAATGATAGATTTATATGACTGTTAGAATCACATTTTAGTAAAAATCTAATGATGTACAGACCCCAAAATATCAATAACCAAATAAAATAACCATCTACATGCTTGTAGCAAAGAAAAGGAAGCAGCACCTTCCTTTTTTAATGGAATCAATAAGAGCCATTAGGATTCCATTTGCAGAAAACAGTTTAGCTTCTGTGAGGCCCATTGTTTTATAAATATAGAAAGACCACTTGGACATCAAGGAAGCAGTGAAAATGTATTCTTTAGCACTAAATCATACAAGAATGATCAGGCCATTAGAGTTAAGGTTTGTCAGCAGTTCTGGTAGAATCCTAATTTTTATTTTTAGAATTTGAAGAGTAAACTTAAAACTTACACTAGCACTTAATAAATAGTTCTCCTGATTGCAATTTTTGCTGTTGTTGCCAAATTTAGAAATGTGTGTCCGAAATTCTATAAAGGCCTACTATGTTGACTTTGAAATATAAAACACAGTATTTCACTTCAAAGGACACAAGTGGAGCAATTAAATAGATCTCAGTGTTGCCTTAATCACTTTGAAATATTTGAAAGCAGCCAAGATACTAAAGTCAGAAGGATAGCTGCTGCACAGGCAGAATAACTTGGACAAAGGTAAGGTCAGACTATATGAACTTTATATAAGAGAGTAGCTCCACTGACATGCCAGGGTACATATGGGTTACACAAACTAAAACTTTGTTAAACTCTTAGGATGAAGTGAATTAATTGGCTTTGCAAGAAGGCATTCCTCTATACTAGGCCTGGAGCATGGACGGAAAGACATGTGCCACCTTCTCACTTTAAGAGTTAAAATGCAAAGATGAGGATACAACTTCTGGCTCAGACTTCCTCAAGCTGCATTTTGCCATAAGACATGAGGATACGTAGGTAAGGTATCACTTAGGCTTTCCCTATCCTCCTTCTGGGTTTGGGGTTTTTTTTAAGTATTCACTACACACCATTGCTTGATGCAGGATACTAGCCTGGACAGAGATGCTGAGCTAATCTTTAATTCCTTACATAAATTCTTATTATTTTAATGATAAATAATTAGATGCATTCTTTGGCCCACAATTCAGCAAACTACTTAAGTAAATTTATGTAACTGGACAAAGAGTTGCCTTTATTGGAACTTATGTAAAAATGTAGTATACTTGCAGAATTAGAACTATAAACTATCCATTGTGTATTGTACCCACATACAGACTTAGAATTGTATATGCTATTTTTATATTCTAAATAGCAAATGGCAGAGAAATGACAGCTGTAAAGTGTTATCCATGCAATAAAAAATAACAAGATTTTGATACGTCACTATGTGCAGTGAAGCAAATTTGCTTTACCTTATTGAGCTGCCTGAAGTCAGTTTCTGCTGTATCTCCTAGTCCTCTGTATTGATGATTTCAAATGTCTTCAAGTTGCTACAACAGCCCTTTGGAAATAATATGTCACGTACCTAACCACCTATGGTGGTGCACACCTGTTGGAAGGGAAAAATCAGGGTAAGTCCTGAGAAACTCTTAAGTGAGTAAACCTTGAGGAAAAAAATAAAAATATGTAAAAAAGGCAAAGAAAAAAATAACACTTTCCGTGCAATGCATAGTACAGTCCAACTGTCTAAAAGGGATCAATGTGTTAATTTTTATCAAGTTGGACAAATGATTTAAATGTCATCCACAACATACAACAAATCTTACACACATACTTGTATTCCCCAGAGTCAGATACGAACTCGGATGTCTACATGCACACAAAGAGAAAATGAGTAGCTTGAAGTAGTGGTTTCTGAAATGACCTCATATATCACGTTCATCAGTAGGATTACACATCACAGCATGTTGCTGTGGGTGCAGAAGAATGGATGCTTAATCAAATCCTAATATCTTCACATAACAAATTGAAATGGTTCTAGAATGTCTCTTGTCTCTCTCTTCTTTCAGGTATTATTTATTAGTCCTTATAACTGAAATTAGTTGTTTCAAGTGAAAAATATCTGAATTTCCTTGAATTGTGATATATGTGTTGACTCAACAAATAAAAAAAAAAAATTATTTAAGCTAAATACCATTTTGACTGGCAATTTGAAACAAAGTAGGACCAGCAGCAGTGTCTCTTCAAAAATCACTGAAAGTATTCACAGACATTTGTAGGTCTATAAGATTGTATTTATTTGTTGGGTTTAGGATTTACCTACAGTTGTGCATGTCCCTGGCTGTGGTGAGCTTTACCAACCTCTGATGTGGTGTGGGACAGGGTGGCCCCACATTCTCCTTTGGCCACACTGAGCTGCTCTTAGAGAAGCACCACAACGTCAGTGTTGACATGTAAAAACAGTATTGCATGACCACTTTTTTTTTTTACTTGAAAACTAAATGAAAGCTGTGAAACAAAGGGATTAAAGTATCCCTGATATTACAGAAATTAGACTCTCCTTCCAGGTGAGGTTAGTGCTTTGTTTCCAGCAGAGATGCTTCAACCCAGATCTGTGACGAGTAATACTACAGCTACACCAGAGAATTTGTTTCAAACTAGCTGTCACTTAACCTGAGTATAAATACAGTCTGAGCCACAGTTTTGTATCATCATAAAATGGGAGGAAGATCCAGCCAGCACAGACTGAAAACGTCTATCTAGTCTGGCAGCCTGGGAATCAAGCAAAACCCCCTCTTTGGCTGCAGCTGGCAGTGGGTTGGAGCCAGGGTAGGGAGAGCCAGGCTCCCACCTGGGTACCTGGCAGACTGCACCAGTAGGACAGGTCTGGCTGAGCACTGCCGGCATCCTAAGGAGAGGCTACAATATGAGCCCGTGTCTTAATGTCCGTTAATGCTTTAATGATAAACAAAGCTAAAAGCCTACATTTGCATTAAATTGTCAGGTATACCAGAACTGCATCTTTTAACGCTTTCGCATCATCTGTATTTATTCATATCTCAAGGAGTTAAGACCTGTGATGCTGCTGTAAACTAAAATAAAGACATACTCAGGGTGAAAAACAGAATAAACTTGCTTCCTGCCTTTAGGAGCTCCCACATTTAGCTCCATTATTGTTGCTATCTTTATTCTTATTGTACAAAGCTCAGTGCAATGCTCACTCCTGGGACCTAGCTTTTGATGAACAAAAAAAAGCAATTCTGAAAATTTTTTTTAGGTTGATATTAAAATATTTTGAGGATCAAATTAAAAGCAAAGTCAATTCCCTGGAATAGCTTAAAGCTTCTATTTAACAGACATCTGGGGGAAAAAAAACCCACAAAAACAAAAAAAACCAAAACCAAACC